CAAACACCAGACTACAAAAATCTTCACATTTATTTTTAAAACAAGGTTCTTTGGGCACATAGCCAAACTAGTGACAAAATCCACTAAGTATGTTTTGATTCTTCCTCAAGTTTCCTACCAAAGTACATTCTTAAATAAAGTCACTAGATTAATTTAACAATACTAAATACAGGTGAAAAGTTTCTTGGGGGCAGAGACTGTCTACACCCAGCATCCTGAATAGTACCTCATATCTAGTGGGCAACCCCCATAAATATTTACTTAACGCATGACATTCATAACCGTCTCATGGACTTCACTAACATTCTGGGGGATTCTTACCATTGCTCATGTCTATCCATGGAGTCTTTCAAAATCTCATCACCATCCTCCTCTTCAAGGTCAAGGCAACCAAAGTATCATATGAAAGTTTCTCAAGCCTGCTTTAAGTGATAACTTTAGATGCTTTCCCCTCAGTGCATAAGATTCTACATTCAAATAACTAAGTATCAATGTTTGAGAAATTATTAAGTAGCACTTAATGGTTTCCATCTCATTCCACATGTGGCATACTAAATTAAATACAAAATTTCTCAAAGTATATTAGATATAAAAAGTTATAAACTTTTAATCCTCCTTCTAAGCCATAAATGGGGAGCAGCGATGTGTGCAAATTACAAATGGGGAGAAGGGTGTGAAGATGACCCTCTCTGGAGCAGTCCAATATCCAAAACCAGCCTATGGGGAAAAAATATCAAAGGCATCTATCTAGTTCACCTTCCCACACAAAGCATGAATTCCTCAGTCATCAACAGGTGGTCCTGCAGTCTTTGAGAAAGAGACAGAATACTTCCCATACAGAATGCTCGTTCTCTCCAAGTCAACTCTCATTACCCTCCTAAATAACTACAGATCTAAAAATATTTTAGATGTTATTACCTGAGTTTTGTGGCCCAGGCTTCATCTCATCATGAGTAAAAAGCTTTTGCTAGCATAAAGACCTAGTGAATCATGATGTTTTCAACTTGGTTTCACAACACACCCCACTTTTCCAAATTCCCATTCAAGAAGTAGGCAATGAATCCAAGACACGCAGACATCCCAATAGGAGGATGAGTTTATTTCTATTAAAAAAAAATATTGAGCACAGAATCATACAATCTCAACAGCTGAAAAGGGAAGCCATCAATTCTATTTCCCACCTATTGTAGGAATTGCTTCAATATCATCTGTGGGGCAGTCCATTTGTGGCTTGGAATCTTAAGATGGGGGGAAAAAGTAAGGCTTTTTGACTTGAATGTTAAGTAATTCTGAGTACAGCTTAAAAAGCTGTTTGGTAGTACACAGATCTGGCAGGTAATGGTTTGACAGTAGTAGATCAAAAGTAATCTGCACCATTTGGTTACTTTCCATTATTTCATTGTCTTTTACTATACAAGTTCCCAGTTTTCCCAGAAAGCTAAATTTGATACCTATTAACAGTAATTTTAAATGTCTTTAAAAAAATTTGAACTACTAAAAATACCCATTACTTTTGGGCCCAAAATTGAATTTTTCAGCTTCTAAAGATCTTTTTAAAGTATGACACAGATGGACACAGACACTTTAGTCATTCACTTAGTAAATATATAGTAAGAGCCTGTTCTATGCTGGACACAGTGCTAGACACTAGGAAAGACAGAGAAAGCAGAAAAGATATGGTCCCTATTTTAAGGGAGCTTTGTTTATAGAAGAGGTAAGTCAGATTGTTGCCCAGAGGATTACAAATCAAGAAAAGCACTAGAAAGACAAAGTACAAGATGCTACGAGAAAACGTAATAGGGAAAACTGGTCTAGCCTGGGAATTCAAAGTAGGATTTGCTACGGAAATGATGTTTAAACTGAGATCTGAATAGTGACCACTCATACTTTTGTAAAATAGATTTCCATAAAATGAAAGAGTTGGTCCAATAAGCCCAGCTACATTTGGCATGTTTATGGTAAACCATCTGCTTTTTAAAAAAGAGTAAAGCTACATATGTTAAAAAGAGGTTTGAAAGCTAGTAGGTGAACGTTCTTTGGGGCAGTGACAGGCCTTCCTCATCCTTGCATATCCTACATCACCTTGCCTAGCGTAGCGCCATAGCAGTCATTCACAACTTCGCTCGAATGATGAGTGCCGGTATTCAATCAATGTTCATGTATCTTTAGATAAGCAAAATAAATTCACCAAACTACATCTCCTCACACAAGAATCCCACGCCGAACTTTGTGAAGAAAAGATGCTTCCATCTACCTCACAGGATTGACACTAAGATTCAGTGAGAGAGTATACGGCAAAATGCTAGGGTAAACCCTGAAGAGCTTGGGGTATCTGGCAGCCTGCGACCAAAAAGCTTGGTCAGCCTCTTCTCACTAAAACAGATGTTCAGATTCAGTTGTGCTTCGTTTTCCTCACCAAGAGAAAAAACTGTAACACACGTGCGCACACCTTCCCTAGCCCTGGTTTTTCTCCGCAGCGGTGAGGCTGCATAAACTCCAAGCATGACTCTGGCTCCAGAGACTGACTGGCAGATGTTTTAAAAGGGCCAAAATTACACTCCTCAGATTTTAGCTACCTCCTCATCCACTCCATTCCCCAATGACTCCATACTTCTTTTCTTGAATGGCAGGCACAAAGTTCCTGATTTAAGTTTTTTAGAAGAACCTATTTTCCACTCATTTTACATGCAGATTTAAGTTGAACATGTTCATCCAAGTTGTATCTCCTGAATAATCTGCATAGTTGTTGTAAAGCTTTATATGCCCCAAAGAAAATATGAAGGGGGGGGCGGTTAAAATCAGAATGACCAACTGTCAAAACAAGATTTTTAACTCCTAACCCCAAAAAGCAAATTTTGGTTTTCTGATTAAAGAAAATTATCTCCTCTATTTTAAAATCAGAAAAGAGTCTCAAAAACAGTCACTTATACTCAGAAATAACAGTAAATAAATGAGAATTCATTCATGGGAAACAAAACTTTAAAAAAATTACAATGGCTAAAAGAGAGTTGAAATGTCCACCACATAATGTGAATATGTATATACAAGATATTACCACATGAAACTGAAATTTTACTAAAAAGTTGAAGTGCTCAAATAAATTGTGCAGCTGAAGGCAAAGTTAAGTTTCAGATCTGTCTGGTTTAAAATAATTTTTTATACAGTTTTGAAAAGCTCTCCTAGTTTTATCCTTCAGTGAGTATCCCACTAAAAGAGAACATTATTACAATACTTCCAGGCAAGAGGCCTGTTTTTATGGTGCAAACCGGGGCTGCCACATCCAGGTAAGGTTTGCCATTAGAACGCTTCAGAAATAATATACTTAAAAAAAAAAGTTTTTAATGGTAATGCCTACACTAGTAATTACTACTAAATGTAGTTTTTAAGCACTTAATTTTTATGTAAATAACTTTAAATAAAATTATAAATGTATTTCCAGAGAAAAAGCTGGTCCTTTCAGCCCTAGCATTAATATCAAGATAGCAGCTTCCTATTTGGGTTACTCTTAATACTCATTTTAACTATATTTTACATCTACTGAGTGTTTCAGGGCTTTAAAGTTCATTGCAGTCATTATATTATAAAGTACAACGTGTGCAGTAAAATATTTTTTTAAAGAGCTGCAGATACAAGTTAAATAACTCGTCCAAAGTCACCCAACAAGTCAGTGACAAAGCTGGGCGTAGGACTAAAATTTCAGCTCCTGGACTAACTGCTTCACACTTTCCCAAGTCCAAAAGAGAAAAGATAAAGTCAAACGATCTACTGGGTAACTTACAATAGCATACACTTACTAACAAAAAATGTTCACCTTGAACAAATGAGACAACGTGCTACATGCAGATACCACTATTAAATCCCAAGTTCACGCAACCAAGCAAAAAAGTACTGCTTCTGGAGAGAGTAAATCCTAGAGAACTTTCACTCTCAAATATGTACAGTTTATTTTCACACTAACCGTGAAGTGTATTCACTTTCTCACTATTCCAAGAGTCAAGTCAAAGACCACGTATCTCCAAAGCAAGCAGTTCTCAGCGAGAACAATGTTAGGTAGCCAATACAAGAAAAGCTCTAATAAGTTGCTTCTTTTTAAAGAGAGATTTTTAAAGGATGATTACATGCTTGACAGAATTACTGTTAAGTCGCCCGCCAAGAAGAATGGTGCTTGTAAAGTAGGTTTTAAGGCATATCCCTCCCTGTTTGGGACACAGTCTGACTTGTTGGACAAGAATGATTCGGGCACGCTCACACAGAACCCCTGTGATCCAGCTGAGTTCGCTTGAAAACATCGTTTCGACCTCCCAACTGCAGTACTCAGCCCTTGCCCAAGCTATACGGGACAAGATGACCCTCTTTAACAATCTCTCAAGAGGTTCCCCCAGCGGAGACGGTGACAGCCGTCCTCCCCCGGGTGTTTTCGGAAATAGAAAGTGTTCACACCAGAGGGAGAGGCTCCTAGGAGGTGTCGGTGCGGAAGCAGGGGGAGCAGCCCTTCGCGCCGAGCAGGTCCTTTCTGACCTGGTCTCAAGTCCTCCGCTTCCCAGCCCCGGTTCCGCCCCACAGACAGACCTTCCCAGGCCGCCCTGCGCCCCCGTTCTCCAACCCACAAGGGGACTCCCAACCTTCCCCGGAGACGCGGCAGCAAAGACAGCCAAGACGGCCACCCCACCCCTTCCGGGGAAGCGCAGGCCCGCTGCCTGGCCGTGTCGGGAGCCTGCTGGACCCTGCGGAGGAGAGGCGGCCGGCCCCTCGTGGGGCCTCCCAGACGGAGCCCCGCGCCCGCGGTCCCTTCCCACCGCCCCCGCCCCCCCGGGACACCACCATCACCGCCCTCCTCACTCCGAGCCCCCTTCCTCGGAGCACCCCAGCGGAGTTACCGGCCCACTCCAAAGTAAGGGCGCCGGCCACCCTCTTCGGTCACCCTGGCCCCCGCCGTCACCGCCCTGCTCCCGGCCTCTCCCCACGCCGCTGGCGGGCCCCGGTGACGCCCGGGTCGGTACCTTGCGGACCCCCTTGTAGATGTAGAAGTAGAGCTCCCGGCCCACATTGAAGCAGAGGCGGTCGCCGTTGCCAGACTGGTCGTTGAGGTTTACGAAGGAGACGCGGACAGGGTTGGATCCCTGCGAGTTGAAGGGTACCCGGTTGGGCCGGCTGTACTCCGAGTGAGGCAGCAGCTTGTACAGACCTTCCCGGGTGGTGAACTGGGTCTTAATCTCGTTCATCTCCTTCCCTCCTCCCTCCGTCGCCATCTTGGAAAGCAGCGTTCATCCTGCCCTAAGTGCCCGGATCACGCCCACCGCGCAGGCGCCTTACTGGGCCTCACCCTCCCCCCGCCGCCTCCTCCTGGCCCCTCCCACCCGCTAGTCGGCCCCGCGGAGGCCGGCCGAGGGGAAGGGGCGGGCTTGTTTACGGCCTGACTGCGCAGGCGTGCTCACCTGGCGCTCTCCACGTGGTGGGGCGTGAGCAGGCTCCTCCCCCGGGCGCGGCCTCGGGGCGGCCCCGCCACAGTACAGGTGAACTGGCTGGGCATCGGGGGTGATCCTGCCTGCTCGCCGAATCCCCGGCTGGGACGGGAGACCTCCGGAGCGGAAGCCGCGGGAACCCTGCGGCGGCCAGCGCTGAAGTGGGCACAGGGCGGCTGCCCCGAGGGCCGCGGGACCCTGAGGGGCTGAGGGCGGGAGCCGAGCGCGGAAGCTCCGGGCGTTCTGCCGGCGGGGTGCGGGCGCGCTCCCAGGCTGAAAGGGGCGGTGTCTGTTTCCCCGGCGTCCCCCGGCCGCTGCGCAGACCGCCTGGACGCCCGCGGCCGGAAACCCCCTGCACCTCCCGTGTCAGTTTCCCAGAAGGTACCGAAGAGCGCCTCAGTTTAGGCGGGGTCGAGGAGAGGAGCGTGTATGTAAAGTAAGTACATATACACGGTGCATAATGTATTTGCAAGTCATACATCTGAATACCTAACTAGAGCAAGCATTGGCTGATTTTAAGGAAAGCAGGTTGTGTGGGCGCTTCTGTTTACGTTTGTCTTCACCGGGCATTCAGAGAAAAGGGCGCAGGGTCAGTCGGGGAACGGCTGCGGGAACCAGACTGAGCCTAAGCGGATTCACTTCTCTTGCTCGCTAGTTTATTAAGACCTCTCAGAGAAGTTA